ATCAGAACTCTTGCTAATCTTTCAATTTGCTTTATTTTCATTCTTTTATCAACTTTGATTTGGAGCTGTGAGCTGGGAATTGTGAGCCAAAGCTGAGTTCTGGACTGTGGATAACAGCTGTGTCAAAAGGAAAAGAGACCAAACAAGCTTTTGTTTATTCATGGGGCCAGGCCTGAAATTTAATTGCAGGTTGGTTTCTAATCAAAAGGTTCGACCCAGACGTTTTGTCACTAGCAAAGAGCATTATGTTTGAAGAGTTAGCAGAAGTTGGCTATCAATGAAATCCATACCTGGGACTTGATTTCAGCAAGTTTGGAAAAGACTTTATGCTCAAGCAAGTGGTAGATGTTGAATGGTAACTGGGAACTTGTGGAGGAGACAGTCACTCAGTCAGGGAGTGGTCAGAATTTAAATTGGGTTTTGGAATGTGTTTTCCGTGGAGAAAGAGTTTGTCTGTTGATGTAACAACATGAAGATTTGAAGGTTTCCAGCACAATCTCCCATGAGCAGCTGTTGGAAACTCAGAGAATAGAAAACTATGTTATAAGTATTACTGCCTTTATTTGAGTGAAGTGAATAGGTGACTCTGATTGACAGCTTCAGAAAATTAATTAAAGAAACCATCATTTATGTCTTTGGAACAACCCCTTGTGAAATCCATTTAGGTAATCTGGCCAGTATTGTTGTTTTATTTATCCCTTGAATCCGTGTGAATGGGGCTGAAAATAAAGCTTTTTGGTTTTAATGCATCGACCATTAGATTATCTTGTTGTTTAATTTTTGCTCTGCTAAAGTTACTACATTGTTAATAAATTGCTAAGTCTTTCGTTTAAGATACAAACTGGTGTCTGGAATTGATTATTTGCAGAGTCTGGGATTAGTTATTCAAAAGTTTGATTACAAACCATTAGGATCAATTTTGAGCGTCATTGAAGGTTTTAATTTTACTATATTGGCAACATAGTGATTTGGTTTGGCTGTCTGTCTCTGAGTCATAAATTTGTTGCTTCAAGATCATTTCAGCATTGCGCATGTTATCTAGATTGACACTTCAGCAAATTACTAATGGAGAACTGCATTGCTGCTAGTGCTGCCTACTGGAAAACAATTGTACAAAGATCTTGCTGGCTGTTCAGGTGGAAAGAGATAACTGAGGAGATTGTAAAGGAACTGCTGGTGATCTTTCAGGAATCGCTGGAATCAGACAGGGACACAGAGGACTGGAAAATGGCAAATGTAACACCCCTGTTTAAGAAGGGAGGGAGGCAGAAGACAGGAAATCATAGGCTAGTTAGCCTGACCTCAATCATACTTAAGAGTTTAGAGTCCATTATTAATGATGAGATTGTGGAATTCTTGGAAGTGCATGGTAAAATAGTGCTGAGTCAGCACAGCTTCATCAAGCAGAGTTCATGCCTGACAAATCTGTTCAAATTCTTCAAAATGATAAGGAGCAAGTTAGACAAAGGAGAGCCAGTAGGCATGATCTATTTGGATTTCCAGAAGGCCTTTGACAGCACAGGAGGCTGCTGAATAAAAAAAAGGGCTCATGACGTTAGGGGCAAGGTACTGGCATGGATAAGGGATTGGCGGACTGACAGAAGGTGAAGAGTAGGGATTTTCAGGATGGCCGCTGGTGACTAGTGGAATTCTCCAGGGCGCAGTTTTGGGACCACAACTATTCATATTTACATTAATGATCTGGACAAAGGAACTGAGGACATTGTTTGCTAGGTTTGCAGATGACACAAAGATAGGTGGCGGTACAGGTAGTGTTGAGGAAGCAGGGAGGCTACAGAAGGACTTGGACAGGCTAGGAGACTGGGCAAAGAAGATGGAATAGTAGAATGGTAGATGGAATACAATATGGGAACGTGAGAAGTTATGCACTTTAGTAGGAAGAATAGAATCATGGACTATTTTCTAAATGGGGAGAGACTTCAGAACTCTAAAGCACAAAGGGATGTAGATGCCCTAGTTTAATTTTTGTCTTCAGGTTAACGTGCAAGTTCAGTTGACAGTTAGGAAGGCAAATGCAATGTCAGCATTCAAGAGGACTAGCATACAAGAACAGTACTACTGAGGCCGTATAAGGTTTTGGGCAGGCTGCATTTGGAATATTGTGAGCAGTTTTGGGCCCATATGTCAGGAAAGATGTGCTGGCATTGGAGGGGGTCCAGACGAGGTTCACAGGAATGATACTAGGAATGCAGGTCTTGTCACTTGAGGAGCAGTTGAGGACTCTGGGTCCGTTGTCGATGGAGTTTAGAAGGATAAGGGAGGAACTCATTGACACTTTTGGAATACAGAAAGGCCCAAATGGAATGGATGTGGAGAAGATGTTTCCACTAGTAGGAGAGACTAGGACCTGAGGGCACAGCCTCAGAGTAATGGGACTGAGATGAAGAGGAATCTCTTCTGTGGAATCTGTAGAACTCATTGCCACAGAAGCTGTGGAGGCAAAGTCATTGAGTGTCTTTAAGACAGAAACAGGTAGGTTCTTGATTAGTAAGTGGATTAAGGGTCACGTGCAGGAGGCAGGAGAATAGGTTTGAGGAACATATCAAACATGATTAAATGGCAGAGAAGACCTGATGGGCTGAATGGCGTAATTCTGCTCCTATATCTTGTGATCCTACCATTTATGGCCATATTACAAATACACAGGGAAGCTGCTCTGAATATATTTCTGGGTTTCCAACACAACTTCCCTGCTCCCAGTGTGTCCTTTGGTTAATATTGGGACCAAATGCATGTAAATTTTATAGACACGCCATATGACTTTGTTTTTTGCCTGTATGATACTTGCTTCCAATTTAAGTTAGTAGTAAAGTTAAGAATACAAATTTCAAAGCTTCAAAATGTACAGTGCACTGGTTTTCTATTTATTTGTCCATCGAAATTAATGTGGGGGATAATTATCAACCAGTTTGTGCGTATGTGGGAAAGTGAACTTAATTATCTCTCCCATAGTGCTGAGGTATTGCTACTCTTTTATGTCAATTACTCTTCTTAGCTAAAAAGTCCAGCTTACTGTAGAGAAGATTGTTCTGTCGTCTATCAAATAGGTGGAGAATTGCCTGCTTCTGTAACTTTGCTGCTGTAACTTTGTCAGTCAATTGCCGTAAAGAGAATGAAAATTCCTGGCCCACATGTGAAGTGAGAAATTCCCTGAGGAAATGTTGTTATTGTCTTCGATCTAATGAGCAACCACATATCTTCCTTAGTGAATTTGCAACAATCACAGGAATAAAGCAACAGAAGTAGGCCACGCAGCCCCTCGAGCCTGTTCTGCCATTTAACTAGATCATGGCCTACCTCCATAAACCTGCCTTCGGTCCATTTCCCTTAATACTTTGCTCAACTGAAAAAAATCTCAGATTTGAACCAAGAACAGGTTGAGAAGTGACCACCATAGGCTATCTGTTTGGTTTTAATACTATACATCATGATAATACATATCATCGATATCCATTGCTTCCCAAAGTATTTATTCAATTCTCTTCTGAATTTCCTCATGTAATCAGCCCCAATTGTAAATGAGTCCATTTCCTCTCTCCGGTTGGTCATTAAGTAAATCAGTTATGTCTTCAAATCAATGTTGAAAAACACTCATTCTCAAAATTCTGTCATTACCTTATTTGTTGGTGGGAGAAGTATTGGTTGTACTTTGTTAGTATCAGGTTTTAGTCGAACACCATAAAAGTTACAGGTAAATATTTTGCTTCTTGTTCTTTGAGCTGTTGTACCACACATATCTCACACTGAAAGTGGCAGGGAAAGAAAGGTGGTGATGGGTGTTAGCGTCAGTCCTCAGGCGAAGTTCCATATGGAGTAACTCAAATCATGAAGCTCCCCTCTGTTATTCACCTGTCCTCTAGATCATCACAACTAGATTAATTTAAAATGGGTCTCTTCCTTGTGGAAGTCTTGCTCCCAGACTTAGTGAAATAATGTTTTAAATGGAACAAACTTCACCAGGCTTCCTTAAGTTAACAAAACTGTGAGTTTATTCGTTACTAAATGGGGAAAGAAATAATGCAACAAACATACACACAGATTAGAAACAAAAGGCGAATTCAAAGAAAAATGAAAATTAAAAGAGATATATGGATCTGTCTCTGAGACCTGTGAAGGGTAAATGATGGGACTTTGTGGCCATCATATTAGGTGATAGCTATAGCACTGATGTTTGTTGGCAACTAGTAGATTTCAAGGTGCTTCGCAGGTTAGCTGAGAGGCCTTTTAACTGTGTTTTTTGCTTGTTTTCTGGCTTTTAGCTTAGAGAAAGGGAGAGACTTCATGTCTTACAACCTAGATCGCAGGGATAACTATGCTTTCTTAGCTATGACACTCACAGCACACACCTTTGCTCATGAGCACACACAGATCAGGGTTGAGATTGGCTTCTAACTCTTGTTTTTGTGTGTTCTTGAATGAGGAAGACTCAAAAATGCCTCTCGCACAGACTACTATCTTTTCTCCCATCATGACCACAGTTGGAGATAGCTCACTGGGCTTACAGTTCAGTTTGCAATACATTTCTCCCTTTGAAATCCCTTTCTTTGATGCTTCACTGAAGTCCATCGTGTGTGACAATCTAGACTCTCCCTTAAGCCCGAGGGTAATCCACACAGGCTTTACATTGCTCAGAATTTACATTCTCAGGCATTTTATTGCTGTATGTTTATTTTGTTAAAAAATGTTGTAACTAAAAGTTCAACATGTCTGTGGGTGATCCGGGCCTATGATCCATCATTATGACAATGGGGTATGTTGCCTAATTGAAATTTTAGACTGAGTAGCTGGGGTATTGTTGTCTCTTTTAATCCATCATCAGAAAATTGATGGATCAATCATTTTATTCCTTGTTCATTCAGCTTTAGCTTATTTTTGTTTCATTCAATACAATATCACTTCAGCGGGGCTTTCTGATTCCAAGCATAACTCATTCAGCAGCATCAAAGACTGCCAAATCAATTGTCATAAACTACACGTGGTAATTTTTCAAGAGTCAAGTTTATTTATGCAATTATTAAATATTAGCAGAAATTTCCCAGAGGTTATACAAACATCCATATCTTCCAAATGGTGTTGGATAAATAGTTGGAGACCTCAATTCTTCATCTTTCTACTCTGTAGCCACAAGTATGGAGAGCTTTTCTTCCATTAGTTCATGAGATCATTATCTGTGGTTTGAAATGAAAAATCAGCTGGTTTACAGGTTTTGTTCAGTGTCTTTGCACCAAGACGCTGGCATTTATTTTTACCATCACATCATCTGAAAAGACCCAGGTCAATGAGAATAAACTGAGCACTTCTGATTTGAATCAAATCAACAAGCTTCTTAACAAGACTTCTATCAGCTAGTATTAACTTCCTAGCTGAGAGCTAAATAGTTCTGTCAAGTTTAATGTGTAATGCATTTTTTAAGATTCTCTTTCCCATTGGCAACATCATGGCATTTGGAGGGTATATCTTATTCTTTGAGCTATAATGAACATAATGATCATAACCTGATTTGCTTGCTAAGAAAAGATTCAAATTTATTTTCATCTAGCATAATTACCATGACAATTACTAAACATTTTCATAGTTATTCTGCATTTAGGTGATAAATACTGTGTAGGAATGCCGACATCTTCTTGCCAATTTCGTAATTTACCAACATTGTTTTAAAGTTATAACAGTTACCTGTGATCTCTGACGCATTCTGAATGATAGATTTGCAAAACTGAACAGTGGCTAGCTTTTCAGCTGTTAATTGTAATCATGCCAGTATATGTTGTAGTTAAGATCAGAGTAGTGTATGTAGCAACTGACCACGCAAAATAGCAGGAAGCTGCCACTCCTAGATTTCTGTGTTCTTTCTCTTACAAACCACTGCAGCATATTCAAGGGGTAAAAAAATCATTTCAATTCCCACATTGATTGCTAAATTCAATATGCAACAAGCTTGAAAAAAACTCTGAACTTCAAATTTTGTGATGTGTATTGATTAGTTGTTTCAATAAATCGCCAAACATTTCCAAATCAAAGGTAACAGTTATAGAACTTCCTGCACTGAGCAATGAACTCAGATTTACACCAATTCTGATGGAACTACTACATTGTAGACATGTAGTAAATTATCTTATATTTTCCCATGCTTATATGGAACTGTTCAATGCAGAAAACATGGAACGGGTTCAACATTCAAGATTAGATTGGAATGGGTGTGTGAAGGAAAAGGGAACAAAGGTACAATATGTGGGATCAGGGCAGGTAAATGTGATTAGTACTATTTGCTTGTGTGGCGAGTAAACAGACATTTTGGGCTGTGACCTGTTTCTTTGCTGTAATTTATGCATATTTCTATTGATTCAGCACAAATATAGAAACCTTGTAGTGGCAAATAAACCTTTACATACAGAAGTTTGACACCAGTCAAAGAACAGCTTGGTGCATGAGTACCAGCATTACTACTGAAGCACTGAGTATGGCTTTGAACAGGGTACATGGAGTTGGGTGAGCAAGCAGAATGCAATCTAGTTCTAAAAAATTAATTTCATTTGTATTTCAGATTTAACATTGAATTGAAATTTGCTGTTTAAGTTATAAATTTCATTCAGGCTTAAGCAGCGATGTACAAGCTCCCCATATGGATGCCAACGTGATCCAGTGTAAGCAACTGCAGAAGAGATGGTAAGACCTGCAGATGCTGGAGTCAGAGACAACACAGTGTGGAGCTGGAGGAACACAGCAGGCCAGGCAGCATCAGAGGAGCAGGAAAGCTGACGTTTCGGGTCGGGACCCTTCTTCAGAAACAACTGCAGAAAGTGCTTGCAGCTCGAGGAGCTTCAGCTTAGAGTTATAGAGCTGGAGCCCCTTCTGCTGACATTGAGATGCATCAGGGATGAGGAATATTATCTGGATATTTTGTACAATGAAATGGTCACATCCATTGGGTTAGGGTCTTCTGATTTGATCAGTGGTAGGATGGAGGGAGTGTGGCTGCAGTTGAGGCAGTTAAATGTACCCAAGGGCAAGAGTGCACTTTGCAATCGTCCAACAGATCTGAGATTCTCTCAACTTTTTTGAATGAGAATGGATGATACTGGAGGGATGAGCAAAGTGACCATGGCACTACGGTACAGGAACCCATTCAAGTGGGCAAAAAGGAATATAGTGTTAATAGTGGTGAGTTTATTTAGGGGGATTGACAGTACTTTCTGCAGTAAAATCTAGAAAGCTGTGTTGCCTTCCTAATTCAAGGATATCTACTCAGGGCTCGAGAGGAACTTACAGTGGGAAGTGGGACAATCCAGTTGTTGCCAAGGTAAGTATCAAAGACATACAAGAGAAGGAAAAATGTTCTCCATAGCCAGTATGAGGTATCAGTAAACAAATTAAGAAGCAGAACCCCAAAGGTAATCTAAGGATGATTACCCAAGCCGCACGCATGTTGTCATATGGCAAATGAAAATAGAGAGATGAGTGCGTGTCTCAAAGGTAGACTGGTTAGCAAGGTTAGATAGCATGGAATCCAAAAAAGCTGGCCATTTGGATACAATATTGGCTTGAAGGTAGGAGACAGAGGAAGGTGATGAAGGGTTATTTTTCAGTTGGGAGGGGGCCTGTGACCAATGGTGTGCTGCAAGTATTGATGCAGGGTCCATTGCTTTTTGTCAGTTATATAAATGATCTGGATGTGAATGTGGAGGTATGGTTAGCAAGTTTGCAGATGATACCAAAAATGATGGTGTAGTGAATGGTGATGAAGGTTATCTCAGAGTACAATGGGACCTTGATCATTTGGGCTGATGGGCCGAGGAGTGGCAGATGGAGTTTAATTTAGATAAATGTAACGTATTAAATTTTGGTAAGGCAAATCAGTGCAGAACTTATATACTTAATGGTATGGTCCTGGGGACTGTGCCTGAACAAAGAAACTTTGGGGTACAGGTTCATAGTTCCTTGAAGGTGGAGTTGCTGGTAGACAAGGTATGAAGAAGGTGGTTGGTACGCTTGCCTTTATTGGTCAGTACATTGAGTTTGGGGTTAGGATGTCATGTTGCAGCTGTACAGGACATTGGCTAGGCCACTTTTGGAATACTGCATTCAACTCTGGTCTCCCTGCTATAGGAAAGATGTTGTTACACTTGAAAGGATGTAGAAAAGATTTACAGGGATGTTGCCAGGGTTGGAGGGTTTAAGCTATAAGGTGAAGCTGAAAAGACTGGGGCTATTTTCCCTGGAACATCGGAGGCTGAGTGATCTTACAGAGGTTCATAAAATAATGAAGAGCATGGATAGGGTGAGTAGCCCAGGTCTTTTTCCCAGGGTAGGGGAGTCCAAAACCAGACAGCAGAGATTTAAGGTGAAAGGGGAAAGATATAAAGTGGACCTAAGGAGCAACCTTTTCACACAGAGTGTGGTGCGTGTATGAAATGAGCTGCCAGAGGAAGTGGTGGAGGCGGGTACAACTATAACATTTGAATGTGTACATGAATAAGAAGGGTTTAGAGGGCTATGTGCCAAATGTTGGCAAATGGGACTAGGTTAATTTAGGATATCTTGTTGGCATGAACGAGTTGGATCAAAGGGTCTGTTTCCATATTGTACAACTCTATGACTGTATGACTATTGTGGAAGAAGGGCATTCCAGTTTGTGGAGAGCTGCCAGCAGTACTGGGAAAAATGTGGCTATAGTCTCTACCTAAATTGTTTTGCGACCAGTGTTCTAATAAGCTGCATAACTAGGGAAGTAGAGATAGTTTTAAATCAATTAGTAAGGGTGTGTGATCAAATTTGGGCAGATGTTCAAAATTCAAGTGTTGGAGCAAAGCAAGATGCTGGGAGCTTGTCAGTAAAATTTGGCAATTATCCTAGGGGCATTTAATCTACATGGTGAACATTCAGATCGGCAAATGCAGCCTCTATGAGGATGTTTTATCATGTTTTCAGAACAGCACATTTTAGAGTCAATTAGGAAGCAGAATATACTGGAACTTGTATTAAAGTCATAGGTTCTGCCATTTTAAAATAAAAGCTCATGGTGTAGGATGAGCATATTGGAATGGATTGGTAGCTAACAGAAAACAGAGAATAGACATAAATCATCCTTGGCAGAATGTAACAAATAGTACACCATAGGAATCAGTGCTAGGGCCTTAACTTTTACAATTTATACAAATAGCTTGGATGAAAGGACCAAAGGCATTGCTGATAAATTTGTTAATGACACTCAGATAGGTAAGAAAATAAATTGTGAGGAACTAAAAATGCTACAAACAGATTATTGATAGGTTAAGTAATCGGGCAAAGGTCTGGCAAATAGAGTATAATATGGGAAAATGTGAAATTGTCCATTTTAGCAGCAAGAATAAATAGAAAGCATATTTTCTAAAAGGTGAAAGATTGTAGAGCTTTGAGATGTAAAAGCATCTGGGTTACCTAGTGCATGAATTACAAAAGGTTATTATGCAGTTACGGAAAGTAATTTGGAAAACAAATTGAACGTTATCCTATTGCAAGGAAAATTGCAATACCAGAGTAGTTAGTTTATGCTTCTGCTGTACAGGCTGTCAATGAGATCACATGTGGAGCACTGTGTACTGTATTGTTCTCCCTTTAAAGGAAAGGTGAAGTTATATTGAAAGCAGTCCATAGATGGGTTGTCTTATGAGGAAAGATTGAACAGGTGAGGCTTGTATCTGCTACAGCTTAGCAAAGTAGGAGGAGACTTGATTGCCAAATAAAAGACCTTAAATGGGTTTTGGCAGGGTGGAAAGGAATGTTTCCTCTTGTTGCAGAATCTTGAACTAGGGCTCACGGTTTAATAATAAAGCATCAGCCATTTAAAACTGAGATAAGGAGAAATTGCTTCTCACAGAGGATTATGAGCCTTCAGAATTTTCTTCCCTAAAAGTGGAAGCAGACTATTTGTATATATTTTTTAAGCAGAGATGGATAGATTCTTGATAAGCAAGGGAATGAAAGGCTATCGGGATTGTCCGAAATATGGCATAATCAGATCAAACATGATCTTATTGAATGGCTCGAAGTGTTGAGAAGCCTATTCCAGCTCCTAGTTTGCATAATTTTCCTTCCATTTATAAAATGGAGGGTCCCATAAGTCATGTTGCCCACTTTCTCAATTTGCCCTGCCACCTGCAAAGATCTCTGAGCATATAACCCCAGGTTTCTT